TCTGTTGGCATATTATAATCACCGAAAGTCACTTAGTATTTTATTAGCCGAAAGTCACTAGGGTCTGTAATCATTTTTATGCCCTTAGGGATCATCTTGTAATTGTCTTGTTTGTAAACCCTAATCTTCATTTGTAAATAGGGGGTGATATTCTATCATTCCTTAAGCTGGTTACCCAAGCTTCACTAATGACGTTACTTTATCCATATGACCTATGGGCAATCCTTATAGTCCACATATGGAAATTTTGAAATTTCTAAAATATTCTTTTAAAAGTAAAATTACCAAAATATCCCTGACTTTTACAACTTTTTAAATCATAAATAAAATTGACTGCAACATTCCAAACCCAAATATAAACTTAAGACTTTTATTGGCACAAAGTCGACTATGTAAGTCCAAATAGGGCCCGATCACTCCCGACTTCTATTTTCTTTTTGGTGTGTGTGTGTGTGTGCACGCACGCCCGTGCGTGTTGGTAAGTAAAACATTTTGTTAAGTTAGAGGCACCAAAGGAACTCATCTAGCAGCCCATGAAATATTAATAATGGCCTAGTAAATATTAGGGAAAGCCAGCTCTCTCCCACACTGACAATTGCTCCAAAACTTGTACTCTCTATTACTAAATATATTATAGTAAGAGAAAGCTTCCAGCCCTTACAAATTCCTTTCCACCACCCTTTTCAATACATCTCCCTTTCATAGCATACCTTCACAACCATTTCCCAAGATAGACATGATTGTCGAGAGCAAGCCTGTGGATACCCAATCCTAGGAAGCATGGACACCTTGCCGGAGACAGCGTACAAGTGTCCGACACGCGTTGGACACTACTAGACATGTCCCATGTTTTTTTTTAAAATTTTTCCAGCCGGACACGTTTTTGACACACCAAGACACGTTTGGACAATCTGTAACAAGATAAGATAAAGCTTGGAAAATAAAGGGGTGGATCGAAGCCCTAACCCGTCGGGGAGAGAGAGAGAGCCCTAACTTGTTCTTCGTTCTTCGTTTTTCGTTTTGTTCTTTTCTTTGATTTGTTTCTTTTGTTCTTCATTTTTACTCTGTCTTCTTCGTTTTTCTTCCTCTGTTACCTTCGTTTTTCTTCCTCGTATGTCTCTTCGTTTTCTTCCTCTCTTCTTTGTTTTCTATTCTGTACCAAGTCAGTGGAAACTGGGATGCTTGGCTGCAAGGCATGTGCCACCCCCCTGGAACGCAATCAGAAATTGGGGGATGATGAAGGAGGAGAAGTTGTGGATAGGGGGAGCTATCAACGATTAGTGGGTAAGCTCATTTACCTATCTCACTCCCGTCCTGATATTGCTGTTGCTGTCAGTGTAGTTAGTCAGTTTATGCATGCTCCTCATCAGATTCACTTTGAGGCTGTCATGAGAATCTTGAGGTATTTGAAGTCTGCTCCTGGTAAGGGTCTGTATTTTTCAAAGTATGATCATCTTCGTGTAGAAGCCTATACAGATGCTGACTGGGCTGGGTCAGTAACTGATAGGAGATCAACTTCAGGGTATTGCACATTTGTTGGCGGCAACCTAGTTACTTGGAGGAGTAAGAAACAGAATGTGGTTGCCAGGTCCAGTGCAGAAGCTGAGTTTAGAGTTATGACCCAAGGTGTGTGTGAACTTTTATGGATTAAATTATTGTTGCGTGATCTAGGTATTGATCAGACGGACTCCATGCGGTTATACTGTGATAATAAGGCCGCCATCAACATCGCTCACAATCCAGTTCAACATGACAGGACAAAACATGTTGAGATTGATCGCCACTTCATTAAGGAGAAACTCACTAGTGGTACCATTTGTACTCCTTTTGTCCAGTCTGGTGAACAACTTGCTGACATTCTCACCAAGGGGATTGGGAATAAACCATTTCATGACATATTAGGCAAGCTGGGCATGAGAGATATCTTCGCACCAGCTTGAGGGGGAGTGTTAGCATATTATATTAGCCGAAAGTTTTACTAAGGTCTGTTTGTAATCATTTTGTGCCCTCAGGGATTATCTTGTAATTGACTTTCTTGTAAACCCTAATCTTCATTTATAAATAGGGGGTGATATTTTATCATACCTCTAAGCTGGTTACTCAAGCTTCAAGACCCATATTCCGTGTTAGTATGCTACCTACTGCTTTGAGTGATTGCCTTGCGAAGGTTGATTCTTGTGTCATTTGTTGTTGTGTTTTTTTTTGGGGTAAGGTGAATTGCATATCATAGTGGTTATTATCATGTCGGAGATTTTGTATTCTTTTATTAATATTTTGTAGGCTTGTTGCTTACAATATTTTGCTCTACTTAAATTGTTTCAGGATCAAATTGTCCCATTTGTGTCTTCTATTTTCTTACGTAGGCTACTTTCTCCTGGGGTTCTTCAAAGTACTGTTCTCCGAGCAACATTTCAGGATTATAACAAGCACTTGGCCAATTCCGAGTTCTATTCCTTAACTGTTGACAGATTGAAAATGGAAATCCTTTCACTTGTTGAGCATGAGGTTTTCTTTAGTTATCTCAGTTTCTCTTGTTTCTTTAATCTCTACCTTCAAAGTTGCTCCTTCTGTGCCCTTTGAAGTAGAAAGTTCTGGGTATGTTTGGTTTGGCTTTGTAGAGTGATTTTGGGAAAATTTTTCTAAAAAACTTGTTTGGTTTGTAAGTTTTTCAAAACAATTTCCAAAATCGCTTTCTCTCTCTTACACATCAATCAATCACTTTTTCTCTCTCTTCTCTTCTTCTCAATCACTTTTTCTCTCACACACATCTACTCAGTTATATTAAAATATCAAATCATTCCAAACTCACAAACTCCAAAACTACTTTCAAAATACACAACCAAACAAATCAAAAAAATTTCTAAACTCTCTCCCCAAAACAATTTTTAAAAACTACTCTCTCAAAACCAAACCAAACATACCCTCTATTGCTGGGAAAGGGAGTTTTCAAGGTAGCTGATAACTGAGTGTTTTTTGCTAGGGGATCTCTGAAAGTCCAGTTTCAATACTCTATCGCTGGAAAACCTTTTGTACACGCTATTTCCATTGTTGGTGCAAGATGAATGCACCAATTGGTTTCCTCATTGATTCATCCATGGGTGCTATTGGCTTAATCAGAAAAAATTCAGTCTCACTCTTCCGTTGTTTGGAAGATATAGAGTTTCTTATCTACGGTATGTGGGGAAACCTTAGTTCTCATGTGTAAATTTTCTGCTTGATTTTTCTGAAAAATTATTTTTAGTTAATCTATTGACTAGCATCTCATTTAAGAAGTTCTATGTACTGATGTTTTAGGTTCTTTTGATGAACTTGGAGATATTGTAAGCTCTGGGCTGGATCTTTCTGATGATAACGTTGACCGTGAGATTCTTTTTGAGGTGCTCCGATGTGTCAGTAATGTCAGCCAACAATTGGGAAAAGGTTCTTCTGCTATATTTTATGAATCACTCCTTAGTGCGCCATCTATATCATCTGAAGAAGTTGTGCCTCGCTTGCTGAAGATTTTAGAAACAGGATATAGTTCATCAGTAACGGCTTTTCATATATCTGAGCTGGGAGCTGATATTGCTTGGGAGAAGGAAATGGCAGATCACAAAAATCTGAGGAAATTCTCTGTAGATATGTTTTTGTCACTTCTTGCTTTGTCAAATAAAGCTACTGCATGGGGAAAAGTTTTGGATGTCATAGAGAACTACTTAAAATTTCTTGTACCTCGCAAAATTATACAGAAGTTTGATTCTGACGTAGGCTTCAACATCAACACTTGTGTCATGATCCAGGCTACTTCTCAAGTTGCAAAAGTGATGTTTGAATCTTCGTTGGACATACTTCTGTTGCTAAGCTATCTGGTGAACATCGGTGGGCAGGTCAGTAATTGTTCTGTCTGAGGGAGCATAATTACGATTATACGCAGTATATGATATAGCTCAATATTTTTGTGTATGCTTTAATCTCTTGGCTGCCTAGTAATTGTATTTGAAATTGGATTTTTATGTTCTATTGTTGCTTCATTATTACCGTGTTATATGGCCTTGTGAACTGGACTGTGGAAGCTCTGAAGGAAAAAATATTGACTCCTGTAGTTTCCTGTGTACATTCAATTATGTTATGTGGTTTGTGTATTTAGGATGAGAATGGTAGTCTGTCCAAAGCTGGTCATCTTTGGTTAGGGAGAGTTAGCTACTTTTCAGTAAGTCTGTTTTAGAGTTCCTGCTCAATTGAAGTTGCTCAATTCATTTGAAACATGATGTTAATTGATTACCATTGGCTAGAGCATCTACCAGTGGATTATCAGTTGAAACAAAGGCAAACAAGTTTCTCCAGTTTCATGTGCTTTGCTATATGATGTTAGACAGGACTATGTGGAACACTAATAGCTTCCCCATTATCATAATAAAAGTTATCTTGTTCCCTGTCCAGTTACTTGGATTTCTTCGACAATAGTTGACCGACTTTTCTGCAAAATGGCGCTCTTGTCCAAAATTTAGCTAAGCGGTAGACATGGCTAGCACAATTTGTTTCTTTGCCAAGTCTTAAATTCCAAAATCTATCATGAGTAAAGGACATAAACCAGTGTAGGTCCTTGTTAGTCGAGGGTGTTGGGAGGGGTTAGACTCGAGACAATTCATCACATAAGTGCAGTAGCTAAATGTAGATTCTCAATCTTCATAAAAACCAGCTGTAAAATCCCCTTGCTAAGGGTAAACTGGTAACGATGGAGTATATCTGCCCTCATGGTGGTGTGATATTTGGGTTTACAAACTAATTGACAATCTTCAAAGCATATGGAAATTTCAGTTTCTTTATAGGTAATATGGTGTTCTAAATTTTTTTTTTTTATTATAAGAAATATCATTAATGAGACACCAAACACTAACAAAATATAACCATCAGTGTGTCATATTCCTAACTGAACTTGTGATTGGATTAGTAGTTGACAATCTACTGGTTTGCATCTTGTGGCACATTAGAAGTGAGTGAGGCAATTGTCAGACTGCACCCTTTGGGAAGTATAGTAGGCATTGAGTTGGTGCAGAACCACAAGAGTTAGGTTGGGCAAGATTGGAGGTATCCTTGGGAGGAGAGACCGAGAGAGAAGCAATGGTGTTTTGGCTTGTAGAATCAAAGTCTCTATGATGCAGACTATAAGAAGGTCAAGGGAAATTAAATTCAAAGAAGCTATGATATTTGAAAATTGGCATGATTTCAAAGAGAAGCCAATAGAAACCATACATAATCATGTTTCTAGTGTTAGGAGAGATATATTTTATGATTTCTAGGGTTTTTAGGCTAAGGGTGTTTTGGTAATTTCCTATTTGCTGACATGGGCTGTAGGGGTCATCCATGGGTTGTCTTGTGGGTCAAATTGTTTAATTGGTTTTTATTTATAAGATTTATTTGGTCTTAGATATGTTTTAGAAGTTAAACGCCTAGTTTCCTCTTTTAGAATCCTAGTAAAAAACTCCTATTTATTAGTCAAAGCTTTTGAGAGCCTTTTGGCCTCTTTTCCTGGGATTGATTTTAAGGCATGAAAAAGCGGTATTTTTGGCATCAAATGAATCTCTTTCTGGCTAGGGCATATAGGACACATAAATATAGTTTAAAGAAGAAGTTTCTAAAGACTATATAAAGTATTATAGTACTTCTAATTTAATGGAGTTAATATTTTAAACAGTTTTCAAAGCGTTGAAGCTTTATGATGCTTGAGGCCTCTAGGAGTGATTTTTAGAATTATCTTTTTCTTCCTTGAATTTCTACACTTAAATTCAGAAACACACTGTCACGGTTACTGAATCATTATCTCTTGAGGTCTAGTGCAAGAGTCACTGTGTAGCGCTTGGGTGCCCTATGATTGTGGAACCAACCACCCCAGAATCTGAATTTATTATTTTCAATGCTGTTGTAATTTGTAAAAAGTTGAATATTACTCCCTGTCTCATTCTACCCTCATTTTACCTATATTATTAATTACAATCACAATTCCCAAAAAAAAAAAAAAAAAAAAAAAAAAAATTAAAAAAAGACTAGGGACATTTTTGTGAATTTATCATTCAATTATTCTTCCTTTGAACTTTGTGCATAGTCAGCTATAAGACTCGTAAAATGTGGAGGAAGTACGTGTTTACACCTTATTAATGCTTTGTGATATTGTCACAATGTGATGATGTAATGTCTATTAGCCATGAAGCTTAACTTTTATAAACAACCAGTGCATTTTTTTTTTGTCTCCGTTTTGCTTTTGCAGATTCATATATTACATGATGATATTTCCAGAATACAACTTGAGCTGGTCCCAATGATTCAAGAAATTATTACTGATTGGCATATCATCCATTTCTTGGGGACCACATCATCTGAATCCCCTGCTACTGAAGATTTCAGTTATCAACTTTCATCTTTACAAATTGGTAGGTTGGTACTAATTTTGATTGCCAGATTAAGATACTTCTCTCTGTTGGTGGGGTTTGCTGCCATTGACATGATTGGTGTCCTACTATACTTGTTCTAAATAAATTACATATCCGTGAAAAGGATTTCCCCTTTGCCTTATTGACATTCATTGATGGTTTTCATGTCACATGCATATGAATATGGCCATAGGTTCAGCGGCAGCAGCATTTTCAGTTTTTTGAGTTTATTGAGTTGGATACTGTGGCGGCATTACTTCTGTTGTTTATTGTTTGACAATTGTCATATTTTTGTTCACTGGTCAGATAACAATATTGATAAGAGATCATGGAATGTGAACCTTGGGAAATGCGACTTCACATTGGCTTGTATACTGTTATTAAATTTTAGAAGTTCCTCTGAAGACCAGGCTTACCTCTCGGTAAAATGTCTGCCTGATCCTGGAAGCTTTATCAGTTCTGTGCGGAACTTTACTAGCTGGATAATGTGGGGCAGGACTGGGGAAGAAACCCCTGCATTCTTCAGCCATTCAACTGAGCTTGCTTTAATCTTACTTAGACATGGCCAGTATGATGCCGTTGAGGTTTATTACTGTGATTTTAATTTCTATGATTATCAGACTTTTTTCTTTGAAAAAATTTGTGTTTTTATTATTATTTGCAAGAAATGTATTGAAGGTCTGAAATAAGTTCTTGTTTCTTCTCCAAGTATCTACTTACTATTGTGGATGCACATTCACGGAAGGAGAAAATATCTGAAAGTATTCAGAGTGGTGATGGTGAATGGGGCATACTTCTCCATCTTCTTGGATGTTGCCTCCTTGCTCAAGCACAACGTGTACCACAGGGACTGCTGAAAGAGAAAAAAGTTTCTGAAGCTGTTCGCTGTTTCTTTAGGTATGTTATTTTCAATAAATGCATCAATTCACTTTCTGATATAAATTCTAAACTGCAGTGTCCATTGTTTTGATCCAAGTGTTTGAGTCAATGTAACAGCTCTGGACAAACCAGTGCTCTTCAGATGGTAGGAATGTAGTTGAACTTTGTCAGGAATTTTAAAGGTTTGGTTGCAAAACATTAAATATACTGTAAAAATTTATGTATTATTGATTGTTATCTGATGATCTATATTACAAATGGTGAGTGGCTCATTATATAGGAGAGGGTGAGTGTAGTAGGTGAGGAGTAGGTGAGTGTAGTAGGTGAGTGTGTGGTAGGTGATGGTAAGTGTGTGGTAGGTGATGGTAAATTTTAACATATACCATACTTTTCTTTATCAGTTATAAAATATTATGAGGCTTCAAATTGTGTATCTAACACAAGTTTCCATCCTAAAAACAAAACAAACATCATTTTATAAACCTAAAATTTCATGTACGTGCAAGGAGAATCGTGGATACTGAAATCGAGAATCTGAATACCTACGAATTGTGTGCAATGCAAAGCACATTGTCATATCCACCTGTATATCTCTTTAAACTCTAAGCAAAATTTCTATGATTTCTTTTCAACAATGAGCGATGGAGTTCAAATGGCAATGCCCTGTTATTTCATATCTAGTGAATATGTCTCAATAAAAGGGTTGCGTATATATGTGTCTTTAGATACACAATGCGTCTGATATGTCATACAATACGTGTAGGTTCCAGAATGATATCATTGGCACAGATCAGGATTCATTTTACTGAAAGTGAATACAGTGTGAACTGGTGAAGAAAACCACTTAAGAATGTAGAATTAGGTTGTGTACTTGTCTGTAACCACACCCTGTTTCTCTTTGTTGTTTTCGTTTGAGTATGTGTGTCGAGTAAGTTGATATTCAATATGCTGTGGATTTCTAGTTTATATAATATAGATGTTCATTGCTTCTCGACTGATTCGTCCTATCCACTTCAAATTTTTACCTTTGTTGTATACATGAAGGCAAAGTGTTTCAGAATCTGCTTCTTTAACAAGTTTTAAGGGGTTTCATTAATTAGAATTATTTGCTAACCAGATTGCGGCATTTTTTCCCGTGGTTGAGAAAGAATTGGATTATAATTGATTTTGTACTGTAGATATTACAGTTGCGCAGGTAAGCATAAAGCAAACTTTGTATTGCTTTTTTCTACTGGTTTCTAAACCAAACCAAACCAAACCAAGCCAAGCTTTAAGTCCCATCAAATGGGGTCTCGACTACATGAATCTTTCTTCTTCATTTGACTCTATCAAAGGACATTTGATTAGTCAAATTAAAGAGATTCATATCTCTATTTACTACACTAGCCCACGTCAATTTAGGTCCGTCCCTTTCCCTAATACTTTCCTCTACCGTCACTGTATCACATCTTTTCACTACTGCCTCTGTTGGTCTTCGTTGTATATGACCAAACCATCTTAATCTATTTTCTCTCAGCTTATCTTCTATCGGTGTTACTTTTACCCATTCAAGGATATAATATTTCCTAACTCTGTCTTTTCTAGTCTTGCCAAACATCCCTTTAGCATCCTCATGTTAGCAACACTCATCTTATCTACATGTTGTTTCTTAGTTGCTTAACATTTCGTCTAATACAACATCATTGGTTTAATAGTCGTTTTATAAACTTACTTTTTAATCTAGGAGGTACTCATTTATCGCACAATATCCCAGACGCACTCCTCCACTTAAGTCACCCCACCTTAATTCTATGGATCACATCTGCTTCAATCTCCCCAGCTGTTGTGATAATCGATCCTAAATAACGAAAAAGTTCTCTCTTTGGTAGTTCTTAATTCTCAATTTTCACTTCTCTTTTATTTCCATTGTTATTATTACTAAAATTACATTCCATGTATCCTATTTTAGTTATGCTTATCTTAAATCTTTTAGATTCAAGTGCTTTTCTCAAAGTCTCCAACTTAGTGTTAACTCTTTCTCTAGTCTACGATATCATCTGCAAAAAGCATACACCATGGCACATCATTTTGAATATTTCTCGTCAACTTATCCATAACTAAAGCAAAAATATAAGGACTTAAGGTTGATCCTTGGTGTAACTCCACAGTAATTGGAAATTCACTTGTCTCTCTAGTTGGTGATCTAATAGTGGTCACTACACCTTTATACATGTCCCTAATCATATCAATGTAGTTTTTTGTCACCTCTTTCTTTTCTAACACTCACCAGATTATATCTTGAGACACTCTATCATATGCCTTCTCAAGATCGATAAAAATCATATAAATGTCTATTTTCTTCTCTCTACTTTTCTATTACTCTCCTCAAAAGATAGATCGTTTTCATTGTTGACTCACCGGGCATAAATCCAAATTGATTCTGTGTCACCTTCGTTATATCTCGTAATTGACGTTCCATCACTCTCTTCCACACTTTCATTATATAATACATCAGCTTGATTCCTCTATAGTTATTGCAATTCTGGACATCTCTTTATTCTTATAGATTGGCACTAAAATACTCTTCGTTCACTCATCTCGCATTTTGGTAGTCAAAATCTTACTAAATAACCTAGTCAACCAAAAAAATCCCTTCTTATCCAAACATTTTCAAGCTTCAATAAGGATGTCCTCGGGTCCTAAAGCTTTATTCAATTTCATCTTCTTAAGTGCAATCTCCACTTCAAAGTTCTTAATCTTGGGATAGAACTCGTAGTCTTGGTTTTCCTTATTACTAGCTATTTCCTCTCCTTTCGACCTTCTTTTATGTTTCTCATTTAACTTCTTCGCAAAATAATTCTTCCACCTTTCCTTAATCTCTTCATCCTTCACCAACACCTTAGAGTCCTTACTCTTGATGCACTTCATCTGATTAAAATATATTGTTTTCTTTTCTCTTATCTTAGCAAGTTTGTATATTCTCTTTTCTCCCTCCTTACTATCTAGTCTAGTATATAGGTCATCATAGGCTTTCAACTTAATATCTATCACTACTTTTTTGACCTCTTTATTAGCCAATTTTTAGCTCTTAAGGTTTTTTTCAATTCTATCATTCTGTCACTTTTTAAAGCACAATTTTTTTTTTTAAACCCGTTTTCACTACCGCTTCAAACATCCCTCCACTACTAAATTTCCTTAGAGTTGAGTCCCTTTCCTTTCGACTCTCCAAGGACTTCCCTTGAGATTCTTCTCATACAATTGGCCATCAGGTTCCACATAGTGTTAGTATCATCTTCTAAGTCCCAAGTACCTTCTTCATTCATTCTATTCTTAAATATTTCCAGTGTATTTCCTTTTAGGTCCTACCATCTCGTCCTACTGCGCCCACTATCCTTTCTAGTTTGGTGTTGCTCTTTAAAGCATAAATCTAATACCAAAATCTTACGTTTGAGACATTAGGCTCTCTCCAAAAATCACCTTATAGCCGCTGCATTTCAGATAGTCCATTTTTTTTACTAGAAAGTAATTTATTTGGCTCATAATTGACCCACTCTTAAAGGTTATTAAATGCTCCTCTCTTTTCTTATACATAGTATTGGCCACCACCAGGTCGAAGGCCAATGCAAAATTTAAAATACTTTCTCTAGCCTCATTTCTATCACCAAAACTATACCCACCATGCACCCTAGTTTATTTATTCCTACGTAGAATAAAATGCCATTTTGAATAATACAGTTGCACAAGTTAGCAGAAAGAAAACCTGCTTTTGCCTCTTGCCTTTGGTTTTCTATTGGAATGAAATATTGCTTTTCCCCCAAAAGAGATGATTAATCTGCTTTTCCCCCAAAAGAAATATTGTTTTTGCATCTTGCCTTATGATTAATTACATGTACCATCCTTTTCTACTTGCAAAATCCTTCTGCTAAACTGTTGGTGATGCGAAAGTAAAATAAAAAAATAATGTTTTGAAATTACTTTGTATCAAAATGGTCAATTTTTTATTTTTGAATATGGTCAATTATCTATATAAATTTTTGTTTTATAGGCCAAGGATATTTTTATAATTTGCAGAATTTCCTTACATGGTCTGTAAAGAGTCGTCCACAAGTCATCTTATGGGTCAGTTGCGTATTAAGGTTTTTATTTATGGGTTCTAGTTGGTTTTAGATGGCTTTAGAAGTCAAAAATCTTAGTTTCCAAGGACGAAGTCAAAATCCCATTAGGACGATGAATTCTCAGAAGTCTATATAATGTTACAGTTCTAAGGAGTGATTCCTAGAATTTTTTTCCTTATCTTCTTCTTCTTTTTCACTTTTAGCCTATACGTTTTACATGCCTATTTTACAAACCTATACCCTTCTTCCTCCAACCTAACAAACCATATCTCATAAAAGAAATGCAAAACCAGCCTCCATATTGTTCTTGGGTTCACAGCCCTTTGGAACAGTCCCTCAACTCCTTATACCTTTTTTTTTCCTCCATTCCCGAAACTTTATCTGTTACCACTTTTAAACTGTACAGTTCTACATAATTTTTTCAATTTTTTGCCTCATAAAGTAGTCAATTAAGTGGTTAATTGCACTGAGACTCCCTCAACTATTAGTAGTAAATTAAGGGGTTAATATCAACTAACCCCCTCATCTATGAACTCATACATTTTAGCCCCTTCAACTATGTAAATGCATTACTTTCACCCCCTCCAACCACCTTCAAAAAGGGTGTATTTGTACGGTTTTAATAGTTGAGGGGATGAATATGTACGGGTTCATAGAACTTTTTGTTGTTGCATCTTAGTAATTTTGGGCTCACTACTTTTAGGAGAGTGTTACCTGCACTTGTCCTACATCAGTTGGCCTTGGCTATTGCCAAAGCAATACATACGGTTAGTGCTTAGTGTACAACTAATCAAAGCGCTAGTTGATTTGGCAATAGAGTTGGTGAAACTGTTCTTTGTCTGGTTAGAAAGCAACTTTAGTTTGGTATTTACTCAATCTAAATTTGAATATTGCCTTTTTCCTAGTTAATCGCCAAAGGAAAGGGGAAAATAGAGGTACATTCAAAACTAGTGTATTGCATCTCAATGCAACGACATAAATTATTTTCTATGTTACTTATGCAATGCGTTAGTGATGTAGGATAAATTAGGAAACTAGTGTGCCTAAAGCTACTTACAATAAGAATTTGGTTGGTTTTGGCTACGGAAAGTTTTCAGTGTTAGTATTCTATGAGGTAGAACAATTAGTGTTCTACACTTTTGCTTTTGATAGATTTTAGAGCTTTTGGTATATGGGTTATTAGGTTGGAGCGCAATGTTAGAATCTTTGAGGACAAAGCTTAGTTGCAGGAATCGTGCAATCAGGTGGCGATTCTTACTCAGTATCGCAATTCTGCGTTTCCTAGAAAGAAACGTGTAAGAATCGCGTTTCTGTGGAGAGAGAAACGTGATTCAGTTTAAAATGGGACTGTAAAGGGGGGAGAGAGAGAGAGAGAGAGAGAGACCTGGTCTGGCCATCGACTTCGACCTTCGCTCTAGCCCTAGCCTTTGACGTCGACCTTTGCCTAGCCTTCGACGTCGACCTTCGCTCTAACCCTAGCCTTCGCCTTCGCCTTTGACATTGACGTCGACCTTCGCTCTCACCTTCGATCTGCTAGCGATCGCCTTCGTCTTTGCCTTCTCTCTCTCTCACTCGCGCTCTCTCTCTCTCTCTGGCCTTCTCACGATCTATATAATATAAGTAATATATATATAAGATAATATAAGATAAAACATATATAAGATTATATAAATATATATATATATATATATATGAGTATATATTATACATATTAATGAAAAAACACAAACACATATATGTAAAATAAAATAAAAAAAATTTAACAATAACACATTATTTAAAAAATATAATAAATAAATAAATAAAATAATTAATGTATATTAAAATAAAAATAAAAAATTTCTAATGTGGTATTAAAATATTATATATGTATATATTACCGCTCCCCGGCGCTCAACTAAGAAACTTCTATCGGCTCATGCTTCCAGCTCCCGCCCTCCCCCCCCCCCCCGCTTTCGTGCAACTAAGGGACAAAGTTGAGGATACTAATTCTCTTTAGGATAAAGTGTGTTTTTTAATCCTCTTTTTGTCTTAGGTTTCTTCTTCTTTTAAGGGGATTCCTTTATTATTTATTTCTAGGGATTTGAGGGTGGTGTGTGTCACTAGTTGCTTGCTACCTTGATGAGTTTTGCTTTTTTCATCTCTTTTGTTTTCTTTGGTGGAGTTCTTGTCTCCCACTTTGTTGTAATTCTTTTTATTTTTAATATAATTAGTTTTATTGCCAATTACCAAAATAAAAAAAAGGATTTGGTTTTTCTTTCAAAAGTTGCATAGTACAAGAAATTTGGAACAGACGAATTTTTTAGGGCCTAAATTGCTAATTAGGGTTCTAAAGGTTAAATTGAAGGCCAATGGGTAACTGACAGGGTTAGGATTGACGTGGAATTTTGGGGTTGAAAGGGACTTTTCTAGTGTTGTGAATAATAACCTAAGAATTGTTACTTTGTGAAAAGAAGAAGAAGAAGAAGAAAAAGAAGAAGAAGAAGAAGAAGAAGAAGAAGAAGAAGATATAACAATTATTGTTTCATTACTTAGTTTGGCTTGGTCATCATATGTTAATTTTTTTCTGTTAAAGTGCTTGTATGTCTGAGCCTCTAATGAGTTTCTATTTTTTACTGTAATCTTTGTCTTCAGAGCTTCATCAGTACAAGGGGCTCCCCAGGCTTTGCAGGGTTTGTCTTATGAAGCAGGATTGCCGCATCTTGGTTTCAGTAAGTAATTTGAATAGTTTATGATTAATTCCTGAAATGAGAAATTTCGTCTTTTGCTGTCATCTTTTAACTGTATCTATATTTTAGCTTAGCAGCTGATTGTCAATCAGCTGCAGTGTGGAAGCTTCATTATTATCAATGGGCGATGCAGATATTTGAACAGTATAATTTGAGTGAAGGTGCTTGTCAATTTGCTCTTGCTGCTCTTGAGCAAGTTGATGAATCTCTTGGTTCTAAGGATGACAACTCTGGAGCAGATACTCTAAATGAATCAGTTAATACAGTTAAAGGACGTCTTTGGGCAAATGTCTTCAAGTTTACACTGGATCTCAATTATTATTATGATGCTTATTGTGCAATAATTTCGAATCCAGACGAGGAAAGCAAGAATATTTGTTTGAGGCGTTTCATAATTGTTCTTTATGAGCGTGGTTCCATTAAGGTAGGCTTTCTATCAAATTATGTTTGTTATTTTTTGAAACTATTTCATCCTTAGTTTTCTTTATACTTCTCACTTCCGGAAATTCAAATAAAAAATAAATTTTGGCATAATGTTAAGTGAGCTTTAAATCAAAAATAAGGTTGAGGCATTTCATTTAGGATTGCTATACGCTTCAATAAATAGCTTGGCATTTGTTCTCAGGAACGGCCACATGAAGAATTTGTCTATGTGCTTAAAGCTATGAAATGAGCCTGGTTTTTTTTCTGGTTGGAAGAAACTGCTGCAAAAGTTTTAAACACTAGCAATTAAAAAAAATGCTTGCTATTTTGTCAACTGATTCTCATGCATTGTGTGAATTGTGTCTTCTTCTTTATTTTGTTTGTTATAATGCTGATAATTCTTTCTTGTTTAATTGTCATTTGTGCAAAAGTCCAAAGATGTGAATTTTATCGTGGCATGTGGTGAATGAATAAAAAAATGACATGTAATAATTGACCTTATATTGATAACTGCTTTTTATTATTATTATTATTATTATTTGAATGCTAGAAAGACACAATGTTTTCCTAATATGCTACTTATGGAAGACTTCTGCATTTTTGTTTGCTGTAGATTCTTTGTGATGGTCAACTACCTTTTATTGGTTTAACAGAGAAGGTAGAGCGAGAACTTGCTTGGAAGGTCTGTCCTAGTCACAACAGAAAATTTACTGGTTTTTGTTATTTATTATTTATTTTTTCTTGATATTAGTTGTAGACTAAAGTTATGCATGTTTTTGTAAGTTTTCTGAATGAAACTGTATATTAGACTGAATAGTTAAAACCAAGAATACATATGCATCACTTATATAGAACTCTAATTCCTAAGCCTACAAGAATACATCACTTGTATAGAACTTATATAGAACGCTAATTCCTAAGCCTAAAAGGAAAAAGAAAAACCGAATAGAACTAGAACTGAAGGAAAACCGAATAGAACTAGAACTATATTTTCACTCCTGCTCAAACTTAAGGTGTGTTAGTAGAAAACACTGAGAGTTTGTCAAGAAGAAACCAAAACCGAAACCGAGTAGTGGTGTGAGTCTTAGTGAAGAAGTCAGCAAGTTGTAGAGTCGAAGAGACAAAATGAAGTGAGATAGAGCTAGGCAACAGATGCTGACGGACGAAGTGACAATCAATCTCAATATGCGTTGTTCGTTCATGGAAGACAGTGTTATGAGCAATCTGAATAGCACTTCGGTTGTCACAATAGAGAGAGGTTGGAGAAGACTGAGGGATGCCCAAGTCAGATAAGAGACTACGAAGCCAGACAATTTCAACTGTAGCATGAGCCATAGCACGATATTTAGCTTCGGCAGTAAAATGGGGCAACAATAGTTTGTTTCTTGCTTTTCTAAGAAATCAGAGAATCGCCAAGAAATATACAGAAACCAGAAGTGGATATACGATCATTAACATCATTAGCCCAATCAGCATAGGCCACCAAGTCTAAGAAAGAAGTAGAAGATAGTAGCAAGTCCTGAAAGATAGTACTACAAAGATAGCGAAGAATCCAAATCAAAGCAGTCCAATGTGTAGAGCGAGGAGCAGAAACAAACTGACTAACCACATGGACATCATAGGCAAGATCAGGGCGAGTAACTGTCAGATAGACTGAGCAATCCACAAGCTCGCGATATAACGTAGGATCGTCCAAAGGAACACCATTAGTGGTGTTGAGCTTCACATTAAGCTCAATGGGGTATCAGAAAGCTTAGTGTTAGTAAGACCGACACGATGGATAACCTCGTTGGCATACTTGGCCTGAGACAAAAAGTAGCCCTTGGTAGAAGAAGCTATCTCAATACCAAGAAAATATTGCAATGGTCTCAAATTCTTCATTTTGAAAGTGCAAAAGAGATGCTGCTTGACCTTAGAGATAGCAGAAGAGTCAGAGCCAGTGATGATCATATCATCCACATATAATAATAAGGCAATAAAACCAGTAGAGGTGTGGAGGAGAAACAATGCAGAATCGTGGGCACAAGGATGAAACCCAAGCCTAGTAATAGCTGTCTGAAAGCGATCATACTAAGCACGAGGAGATTGCTTCAAACCATACAGAGCACGCAGAAGACGACAAACCTGACCATTGGAATGGTGAAGGCCAGAGGGAGGACGCATGTAAATCTCCTCGGTGAGATGGCCATTAGGAAAAACATTCTCAACATTCATCTGATATAGAGGCCAATGACGAATAGCAGTAACAAAGATCAAAGTACGGGCATTAGTCATTTTGGCAACAGGGGCAAAAGTCTCCTCATAATCAATACCATATTCTTGTGAGAAACCTTTGGCAATTAGGCGAGCTTTATGGCACTCGAGAGAACCATCAGAATGAGTCTTTACTTTATAGACTCATTTGCAATCAATCAGATTCTTGACAGCAGGCAGAGGAATTAGCTCCCAAGTACTAGTCTTTTGTAATGCAGACAACTCATCCTTCATAGCTTGAACGCAATTAGGATCCTCACAGGCCTCCTTGTAAGACTGAGGTTTTGAAAAAGAGTGAATAGCAGACAAAAACGTACAATATGAAGGAGAAAAACAGGTTTTAGCAAAACCAAGTTTGACTACCTGTTTACGGACGCGAAGGGGGTACTTACGGTTGGCTAGATTAGGGTCATCAGAAGCAGGAGGATCAACAGTAGGGGCAGACAACTGGTGGAGGGAGAGCCTTGCGACGAGAACTATATTTTTTAAGGCAAAAAGCGAACCAAGGCGACATGGTCTCCTAATGCCTAAGCGCGAGGCGAGGCGAGGCGAGGGCTTCATTGAATCGAGGAGACCACAAAGGATATTTTTTTAAAATAAATAGTATAGACAAAAATATAAATATTTTCAAGAATCATCATGCATTTATCATTCTAAATGCTAAATATCTATAAACAACAGAAAATATCCAACAAAGACAAATACAAGCCACCAACAATTTCAGCATAAAGAAATTAAAGAACAACATATTTTTAGGAGAGGTCATGGAAAAATAGTGTTTCAGCAAAATTAATTGAAATTTTTTTCGGCAAAACAATTATACAATTAACACTGCAAAATAATTAAACAATTTTAAAATCAATTTAGTAAAATTAATTGAAAAAATTTTCAGCAAAATAAATAAGAAGAGAAACAAAACAAGAACCAGGGAAGAAAAAAAAAGGGGAAAAAAAAAAAGTCTGCCGAAAAAGAAGGAAAAAAAAAAGAGTTCGAAGAAGAAGAAAAGAAGACAAAAGGAAGAAGAAGCAGCAGGAGAAGACGAAGAGAAGAAAGGAAGAAGAAGAAGGAGGTACTCACCTTCTCTTTCGACTGGAACGATGTCGAAAGCAGGTAAGCAGTGAGGTTCTTGAAAGCAATTGTCGATTGGAACGATGTTGACTAAGGTTTCAACTTCTTATTCAGTAGAAAACAATTATAAAGCGCTACGCATGTCCACAAATAGCACAAAAGTCATTCAAATCAAGGGCCCAGATCTTTTGAACTGAAAGCAAACAAAACATGGTGAAGCGACGCTTCGCATCGCCTCTCGTTTCGACGCCTAAGACTCGCTTCATGCGCTTAGACTGTGCTTCAACATTTCGCCTCTCCTCAATGGGTATGAAGTGCTAAAGGGTCACCTCACCTCGCTTCGTGCTTAGGCGAGCACTTAGTCGCGTCCTTAGTTGCACGAAGCGGGAGCGGAAGCGAGAAAGCGTGAGCCGATAGAAGTTTCTTAGGTTGGAAGCACATTGGGGAGCGGTAATATATATATATATTTTAATACACATTAGAAGTTTTTTATAAATATTTTTATTTTAATACACATTAATTATTTTATTTATTTATTATATTTTTTAAATAATGTATTATTGTTAATTTATTTTTTTATTTTTAATTTATATGTATATATATTATAAATAAAAAAATATAACAAATAAGGAATAATAAATTATGTTAAAATAAAAAAAAATTGAATGATTTATTTAATAGATTTTATTAGATATTTTTTTTATTATATATAATTTAATTAGATTTATTATTATATAACAAATTATATTATTTATTATATGTTATAAATGGAAGGTGAGAGAGATACACAAATCAGAGAGAGAGAGAGAAGAGAAAGAAGAAGAAGAAGAAGAAAAAGAAGAAGACGACGACGAAGGCGAAGGCGAAGGCGAAGAGAAGACGAAGGCGACCGACACAGATGACGACAAAGAGAAGGCGAAGGCGAAGGCGAAGGCGAAGGCTAGGGCTAGAACAAAGGTCGATTATTATATAACAAATTATATTATTTATTATATGTTATAAATGGAAGGTGAGAGAGATACACAAATCAGAGAGAGAGAGAGAGAGAGAAGAGAAAGAAGAAGAAGAAGAAGAAAAAGAAGAAGAAGACGACGAAGGCGAAGGCGAAGAGAAGACGAAGGCGACCGACACAGATGACGACAAAGAGAAGGCGAAGGCGAAGGCTAGGGCTAGAACAAAGGTCGAAGGCGAGGGCGAAGGCGAAGGCGAAGGCGAAGGCGAAGGCGAGGGCGAGGGCGAGGGCTAGGGCTAGGGCTAGAGCAAAGGTCGACGTCAAAAGTTAGGGCTAGGGCTAGGGCTAGAGCTAGAGCGAAGGTCGAAGTCGACGGCGAGGCCAGGTTTCTCTCTCTCTCTCTTTCCCCTTTACGATCCCATCTTGAACTGAATCGCGTTTCTCTCTCCACAGAAACGCGATTCTTACATGTTTCTCTCTAGGAAATACAGAATCGCGCCACCTGGTTGCACGATTCCTGCAACTAAGGTCGTGCCTCTAATAACACTGGACAAGAATAGATGGACAAGAATAGACTAACAACGGAGGAGGAGAATGAGCAGGCGAGGGAGGAGGTGGAGAGGATGGAACAGACTCATGGGGTACAGTAGAGAGGGACTTAGCAGAAGGTGTAGTAAGAGGAGAAGAAGGAACAAGTTCATGGGAACATGAGAGATGTACTCATCAGGAGAGACCTCAGAAGGAAATGGATCAATGTGAATCAAATCTTCTTTAGAAACCGGAGCAGTGAGAGGAGGAAACTGAAAGTAAGTTAGACGTTCCAGGAAGGCAACATGGCGAGAGACATAAAGGCGGTAGGAAACAGGATCGTAATAACGATTCCCTTTTTGAGTAAGACTGTATCCAAAAAAGACACACAGGATAGATCGGGCACTAAGTTTTGTCCTGTCTTTCCGAGAAAGAAGGACAAAACATGTAGACCCAAAAACATGAAGGAGAGAGTAATGAGGGAGTTAGAAAAATAGAGCCTCATAAGGAGAACTACCAGAGAGTAGAGGGGTAGGCATATGGTTGAGAAGAAAAGTAGCTGTAAGAACGGCTTCCCCCCGAAAAGGAGCCGGAACAGAGGCAGAAAGAAGGAGAGATCTAGCTGTCTCAAGGAGATGACGGTGTTTACGCTCGGTATGACCATTTTGGGCGGGTGTGTCAGTATAGGAAGTTTGGTGAATAGTACTTAAATTGGCTAGATACTCACAGAACTCAATTTTAAAATACGCCCGACCTAAGTTAGACCGTAACAATTTAATGGTAGAGCCAAACTGTGTAGTGATCATAGACTGAAAGTTATAGTATATTTGGTAGAAGTCAGATTTATGAGTCATAAGATAAACCCAAGTATAGCGTGTGCAATCATTAACAAAAGACATATAGTATGCAGGACCCCCTTTTGTAAGAACATGAGAGGGTTCCTAGATATCAGTATGCACAAGAGAAATAGAGAAACAGAAAGACATACTTTTATTAAATGATAAAGCTGACATTTTGGTAAGTTTATGCCCCCGACATTCATTAATTTGATTAAGAGAAACTTTACCCAACAACCCTGACTGAGCTAAAGGCCGTAAGCGATCAACAGACAAATGACCGAGGCGAGAATGCCATAAGTAAAACTGACTCGACTGAGAATCTAATTGAAACGAGGAAAGTGCAATTGGAGAGGTGGATAAGGGGAGATGTAAGCTTTCTTCCACATAGAGATCTCCAACTCTACGGCCGGTCCTAATCTGCTTCTTGGACACCCGATCCTGCACACAACAGACATAAGAGGAAAAGATAACATCAAAACCAGAAGTATCAAGTTGACTGATAAATAATAAACTGACAGATAGCTGAGGGACAAAGAATAGAGGGAATAGTAACAACAGACATGGCAAAGGATAAGACAAACCCAATAGACAGTACAGATATACCAGATCCATTAGTAGTATTAACAGTAATAGGAACGGGTGGGGGAATACAGTTTTGAAGTAAGGAAAGGTGTGGAGGCATATTATGAGAGATACTAGAATCAAAAAGCCAGACAGAAGAAGAGATACTAGAAGAGGACCTAAGTAAACCTGAATGAAGAGAGGTAAGAGCGGTGGCAGATGAGGATGGTTGAGAGGTGGACAAGATACCCTGAAGTTGCATAATCTGAGCACTCAAGGAAGCCAAGTCAAGATCGGGAGCTGAAGCAGATGCGGTATAAGCGGCAGAATGTCGGAAAGTACTTGGAGTAGGACTGCGGAACTGTGTCTGAGAAGACGGAGTAAGCTGACATCCCTTCTTGGGATAGTTGCTCTTCCAATGACCTCTCTGATGGCAGAAAACACACTCATATGGACCTAATGGTCCTTTCTTGGGTTTTGTAGTGGCTTGAAGCTGATGAGGAGGTGGAGTCGATAATAAAGGAGGCTTAGAAAGAACCAAAAAGACAGAGGGAGGCAGAGTCTGATTGGTCGTCTTAAGACGGGTTTCCTCGAAGAGGAACTCACGAACAATAGCATCCATGGAGAAAAAAGGAGACCGGTGAAGGATGCCACCTTAGATAGCCTCATACTGAGGGGAAAGAGCCGTTCAGAACTGCACTAAACGACCCTGCTCCTGAAACTCAATATAAGCGTCCAGTATCTTGAGACTAGGTGGTTCCATAAGAGCTAACTGATCCCAGAGACCTATCATCTCAATATAGAAGTCCTGAATAGTCTGATCCCGCTGACGAGCACTCTGAATAGCTATTTCAAGCTCATATCGCTTGGCAAAGTTGGGCTGCTGATAAACACCTAGCAAATAATCCTACACTTCCTTGGCAGTACTGTACTTGGAAAATATCATTCCAATACGATCATTCATATAATTAAAATCCGGTCAGAACTTGGACATTATCACAATCCCACGTATTATAGGAAGTCAAATATCTTTTTGCCTTCGGGTTCGATGGACGAGGAATAAAACCAGAAACATAGCCCCATTTTTTTTGACTGAGAAGAAAATTCTTCATAACACTGGCCCAATAGGCATAATTGCCACCAGTGAGTTTGCATTTGATGGCTTGGATTTCAGTGTCTGACATTGTAACAAAACAAATTTTATAGAATGTTATGGGTCGAAGTATAAATAAAACAAATTAGGGCTTCAAGTGTAAATACCTAGAACCAGCAACAAAGATAGAAATCAGCGAGTGAGATGGATTTCACGAAGCGAAGCTGAGCCAGAGAGAAGTTTTGCGAAAACGACACCACCGAGAGAGAGAGAGCAAACCTTCGCGAGAGAGGTTCTTCACGAAGCAAAGCTGAGTGAGAGTGAGCCCTTGTTGCCTCGAAGCAGAGTGAGAGAATGAAGAACCCTCGCGAACACGATCAGACCTAGACGAGAGAGCTACGACTTCGGACCAAAAAATCAGAGAGCCTTCATGACTTCAGACCAGAGAGAGAAGACGACTTGAAGCACCAAGTCGACGAACTGAGAGAAAGCGAAGACCAGCAAACACGACTTTGAATTAGGAACAGATGGGTCACCCACCCAAGTTGAAGACAACCAGTGAGTCCGAGAGAGCACGAATCAAAGAACAATGGTGACAGTTCTAGGGTTTTGAATAAGAGAATAATGGTGACTGTTCTGATATCATGTAAGTTTTTTGAATGAAACTGTATATTAGACTGAATAGTTAAAACAAAGAATACATATACATCACTTATATAGAACTCTAATTCCTAAGCCTAAAAGAATACGTCACTTAAATAGAACTCTAATTCTTAAGCCTAAAAGGAAAAAGGAAAACCGAATAGAACTAGAACTATATTCTCACAGTTTTTGCTCTGACTTCTTGTAGGCGGGGCGCTCAGATATTTCAGCAAAGCCGAACCCTTTTAAATTGCTTTATGCGTTTGAGATGCGCCAACATAACTGGAGAAGAGCAGCAACTTATATTTATCTATATTCAGCTCAATTGAAAGCTGAAGCAGCTTTCAAAGACCACCAACGCAGGTCCCTGGTTCTGCAAGAGAGGCTGAATGGGCTCTCTGCTACTATCAATGCACTGCATCTTGTTCATCCTGCATATGCTTGGATCGATCCTCTACTTGAAGAAAGCTCTCTTCAGAAAGAACATTATTCAAGTAAAAAGGCTAGATTAACGGTGGATGAACAGTGTAAAGAATCCATTTGCTAGGAATTTCTTTAGTTTCTTTTAATAATCATTATAACTGCCCTCTCTATGATTCTTCTCTTGTTTACCATATGCTTTTATCACCCTACAAGTATAGTAGAGTGGTCATGTACACAATAATATGTTTTCTTTTCTGCTGCAGCGGCTGGCAATGGTATTCAAACACAAAGATTGCAATCTTATGTTGATGTAGAGAAGCTTGAAAACGAGTTTGTGCTAACATCAGCTGAATATATGCTCTCATTGGCAAATGTCAAATGGACATTTACTGGTACAGTTCTTTTGTTATCCTAGAAACATTGTACTTCTCATACATAAATATTGGAGACAACTTCAGGTTTGAGAGTAATTTATGTTAAGCCCAAAACTAAAGTTCTAGCCTTATCCCTCTACCTATACTCACATTAACTCATCTTCAGAAGTGAATGATGTTTATTATTGTTGTTGCTGCTGCTGCTGTTAATATTATTGTGATGTGGATGAAACCCCATCCTACCCATCCTGTGAATGGGTTGGGTAATCCCTGGATGCATGCACCCGTCGGCAAGACATGTATATAGTAAAGACTGGGTGTGGGCAACAAGAGTTGAACCTAGAATGTCTGAGTTTACAGTTTGCCCCAAGGCCCTTGCCATTGGGCCACCCATGTGGGTTGAGTGATTGATGTTTAATATAATATAAACCTTGAAATTGCCATCGGGCCACCCATGTGGATTGGGTAATTGATGTAGAAACACTGCCCATGATGATGAACTTGTGTAGAAAATTGACCCTTTCTCAAGCATTCTGACATATATTCAACTTTTAACTAGTTGGGCAGAACAGTGTCAGCTTTTCTTTCCTTTCTGTTCTTATTGGCCTTTTCTCCTTCCAGGGAATGAAAAACCCCCGCCGGACTTGGTTGACTTGTTGCTCCAGGCAGACTTATATGACATGGCTTTTACAGTTATTTTGAAGTTTTGGAAGGGTTCGGGATTGAAGAGGTGTAGCTCCTGTTTCAAATTGTACAGTATTATATGTGCTACCTTTGGATCTTTGGCGTAACCTCTATAATATTAATCCTTTTTGTTTTTTGTTTAGGGAACTGGAAAGAGTCTTTATTGCAATGTCATTGAAGTGCTGTCCAAATAGAGTAGGTCCCTCATTGATTGGGTAAGATATGTTTGATATCTGTTTCTTTATTTGTTCAGAGTGTGTTAAATCCTTTTATTGTTTGACATTTTGGGTCTAGCTTAATGTTTATTTTTGACATAAGTCCCCTCCCTTGGATTCCTTTGTAAATTATTAATGTAATATATACCTTTCAGGAATGACATTAAAATGTCCGGTCTCCTGTTGACATCATCAAAAGATGAAGTGGTTGTTCATGGTTCACTTGATACGATTCCTCCAACGCATCAGTCTAAAGGGAATACCCAGTGGGAAACACTTGAGCTCTATCTTGTTCGTACTGCTTCCTTCGTTTTTAAGTCATTTTAACTTTCTGTTATATGTGAAGTTTTTGTTCTTACTTTTCAATAAACTCAAGGGATTTTTAATTCCTTATGTTCTTTGATAGATATTCATCGAAGCTGTTAGTTGTTTTGTATGCATGCTGTTGGTAGTTTGAATCTTGGTGGGTATAGGGAAATATGACACTAATATATTGCTGGCATTTGCCAGCAGGTTACTCTGGCCTACTTCATCTATAGGCATTTTTCTATCCGCCCATCCAAGATTCCCCACTGCCGCCTCCATGGGAGTCCAGGGGATTGCTTACTAAGCCGCATTTAGAATTATTGTAATGGGTTAGGCGCCGTTTATGGTGTGATATTTTTGAAGAAATAAAATGAGTTTGGCTTCATTAATTAGTGGTATTTAGAACTTCCTCAAAGGCCTTGTGATTGTATTCTGTGTTTTTGTGGCATTTAGAACCTCCTCAAAGACCCTGTGATTATTTTATATGTTCTTGAAGGTAGACTTGTAATAAAGATTTTTGTCTCCAAATTTCTTAGTAGAGCTGAAATTAGAACATTAGTCTAACCTTTGGAGTGGCATGGGTCAATGTTGTGCTTAATTGTTTGATTAATTCAGGAAATGGCGTAAACTTTTGTGGATTATGAGCAATAATTGTAGTTTTCTTTTTGTCCTGTCTCATATGACTGATATATTTTCCATTGGTACTTATTAATTACAGGAAAAATACAAAGGATTTCATTCCAGATTACCAGTAATTGTTGCAGAAACTCTTCTTTCTGCTGATCCTCAAATTGAATTGCCACTTTGGTTGGTTCAGATGTTCAAGGTAAATTATTTAGCCATACATCGGATAATGTGCGCCGACCCCATTTGATGGGACTTAAGGCTTGGTTTGGTTTGGTTTGGTTTGGTTTGGTTTACATTGGATAATGTGGTTATATATATATATATATGTTATAGAAATGCAACAATGAAGCTTCCTTCAAGTTTTTTCATTTTTTTTTAGGCTTTTGGTCTTTGATTTGAATTGTCTTCGTAGGTTGTCCATTCTTTCCTAATTTCCAATTTGCCATCTTTGTCTGAAGACTAGATATTCACATCGTACATTGATTAGTTATAACTTCCTGATGACACAACCCTTGACTGGCTGGAAGCTAATTATCAGAATTGAAGCCTAGGGTGAAGCCCATGGGCTTGACGACCTTTTGGTCTTATAAATGTCATTGGTAGATTATTATTATTATTATTATTGTTTAGTTAGTTTAATAATATAATTATTAGAAAGATATTTTAATTTTGTTTCCAAATAATAATAGGAATAGTTTCGTACTAAGAAGCACGGACATGGACACACCGATACACCAATTTTCTAAAAATGCAAGACACACGACATGTGGGAGACACATGAAATATATAATTTTATATATTTATTATATGTTAAATATATCATTCAAAGATAATAAAAAATGTAATATGACACTAATTTCTATAAATTTATATAGTTTTTGTTTTATTATTGTATCTTAAGTTATTTTGTTCAAACTTATAATTAGTTTCACTTGTGTCTAATTGATAGACATGTGTGTTTAAGCGATAGACATGTGTCCTCCAAGTGTCTAGGTCTTTAAAAAAATTAAAAAATAGGACACACGCTTTGAAGAGTGTCGAACACGTGTCAGGAAAGTGTCCAAAGAGTGTCAGTGTCCGACACGAACACGGCATGGATACATCACTTTCTTAGAAGTATTCTTTCAATTATACACTAGGGTTTGCAGCGTAATAATCAACTTTTGGAATAATATTATTGAGAGTAAAAGGCTGCGGAGATTTTTCAAAGAGTTTCCCTCTCTTCTATTTATTTCTACATCACTTCCTCTAGATTGTAGAATTTCATTCCTTCTCCTTTAGTCAAGTTGTTGTGCATAGCTTAACAGTTTGACTAAAGTTCATCTTCTATTTGAACTCCAACAAAATTGGTGTTAGAAAAAGAACTCCCACAAAATCACTCTAAGTTTATGACAATGTTTTGTTTTTCTTCTTTTTATTCCTTGCACCTCTATCCTTTTTTCTCCTCTTGCTGTATTATGGTTCTCATTTTCTTGGGATAAGTTTTGGGATGCAGGAGGAGGCCTTCTTAGTATCTTTGAAAGAGATTCACCTTTTCGGATATTCTTTTCACAAAACTTTAGTGCAAGCCTTGATACTACTATATCTTTGCAAGTTGAATATTTTCCTTATGAATATATTGAAGTTCAATTGTTTTAGGTCTCTGTTTCCACATTTCATTTGAAGTCAAAATTCTCCCTACTTTTTTTCTATTATCTTTTACAAACTTATTAAATATCCTAAGTTTCTAATTTATCACATTGAAATCCACATGATAAAACAGTAGTTTATCTTGCAAGGACTTGAACTAGATACTAGATTCAACATAAATGTGAGCCTGCATAAAACTTGGACCAACCAGACACCGTCACTTATGTTGCTCAAGGCTAGCTTACACAATGCCCTAGCCTCGAGCCAAGGCTCTTGGAAGCAATCTTCAGGAAGCCCCAGGCACGGATGATTCTCTCCCATTTGCTCAAGATAGCTCTCTACCCAAGGATGCCGACCTGCACTTGTGATACATTCGCTCGACCCTCCCTCAGCTTGGCTGGGTAGTTCTTCATTTGGGTGCACATCTGCTATGATCTAAAGGCACCCTAATACTCTACACTAGCTTCTCTCTAGAGTGGGGCCTAGAAACCCCCTCCCTCAAGGTTGGTACCGGAGCCCATAGTCATGGGCTGTTCAAGCGATCCCATGACCCTCATGAGGAATCATTGGGGTCTTGTGGCTTGGTGATTAAATTCGAGTTTGTCAGGGTGGCTGGTCCCATTTCTTTCGAAGGACTTTCACCCCTTCACTAATTTTAGAGAGAGATCTCTACATGACAATAAGCTCTAGATCATGACACAGGCACATAGATGGCTCTGTACCTTTCTTCTCTTGTTTAGCATCAGTCAGCCATTGTAGTCACCGAAGCCTCCGAGTACTTCAGTGCAACTACCAAAAGTGCTTTCTACCTCCAGATTGACAGCAGAAGAACATGTGGTATTGTGCTCTCAGATAAATTGGCTTGCAAGGCCAGACCCTCTTACAAACAGAAGCCAGCTCTCTTGCTTCATGATCGCCTATGCTCCCACCCAGTCCATCTTCAGTGAGCTAGCAACCACCACCTCAGACAGCATTATACCTCCCAAAGGGCTCCATGGCCATCCTGCTTAGCAACTATCTCCCTCAATAAAGCTATATGGTTAAATGGGAACTTGAAAGAAAGTAAATTTTCGGTATAAAAAGCAACAAGTAATGAAAATAGTAGATTCTGATGCATTAAAAAGAACCCAAAAAAGACTCTTTATATTTAGTAAATGACTAATCTTGACTATGCATTAGAGGACATATTTTAGTAATGTCAGGGTTCTGAATCTAGAAGCAGTTTTGGACTTAATCGGATATTTGGGCCTTTTCAATTTGGCCAGACATTGATAGGCTGGCCTGCCAGATATGATCCCTCATCACCCAGTCAGTGAGCGCAACTCCTATTTTTCAATATTTGTTTGAATGTCCTGAAATGGTATTTTGTTCTTAACATCAATGGATGGGGGAAAGGAAATTGGAACACGATTAATTGGCAACTCTTTGTCTTGTGTGAGCTTTATGAACTGATCTGTACCTCAATTAGATCTCACCTCTCCACATAGTACTTTGCTATGTAGTTTGTAATTTCTAATTGAAGCAAGTTTATATAGTTTTAAATGGGTGAATATCTGGCCTTGTTTTGATTATCTTGCCTTATGTGAAGTTCTTGTTTTCTCATGACTAAAGCCATACCCTAAGAATTTGCTTGATGTTCATGGTTATGACAGGGTGTTCGAAGGGAAAGTACTTTGGGGATGACTGGCAATGAAGCAAACCCTGCATTCTTGTTTCAACTATATGTTGATTATGGCCGGTATGCAGAGGCTACTAATCTCTTGCTTGAGTACTTTGAATCCTTTGCATCAATGGTAAATTTCTGTCTCTTCCTTGAAACAAATAGCTTTGATCTTTGCACAAGTACCAGGAAACGTTTATTAATTTATGTTGATCATGGGTATTTTTAAAGATTTTATTATGTTGATCACTATGCAGAGGGTACTAATCTTCTTCTCAAGTACATTGTGTCCTTTGGCATTAGTTGAAAATATCAGTCTTCTTTGCTAGACAGAGCATTGATCTTTACAAACTGCCACTGAAATTTTATGAACTGTTGGTCCTAGTTAAATTTAAAGTTTTTATTGTATTTCCATTGCTTACTCTACCTACTAGTCAATATCTGTGTGAAACCCAACCTATAATGCCTAAGCGTAACCAAAAATTGGAATGTGCAAGTACTTCGGCAAACTACCTTCTTAGTGACAGTCCTTAACCCATTTGCAGATATTGTTTTCTTTCTTCAGTTATGTGAAACTTAGAAAATATGAGGAAGAAGAACCCCGAAAATATGGGGAAAAAGGAATAGATTTCTGTTATATTCAAAACTTCTTATCTTACAAGACCAAATGACACTCCTTATATAGGAGATATTACAAACATCATTATAACTCATTATATGTCACTTACATATTATATATTACCACTATCTACCACTATCATATTATATACATGCCACTATCTTCCACCAACACCACTATCATATTCTATACATGCTACTATCTTCCACCAACACCACTATCATATGATATACATGCCACTATCTTCCACCAACACCACTATCATATTATATACATGAACACAAATTTCCAGCACTTCCCCTCAAGCTGGTTTGAAGATATCTTCCATAGCCAGCTTGCTAGTCAGCTATCAAATTGCTTCTTGTGTAGTCCCTTCGTTAGCACATCAGCTAATTGTTCACCTGTTGGGAGGTAGGTCATACAGATTATGCCAGTATTGATTTTCTCCTTGATGAAATGTTTATCCACTTCTATATGTTTTGTGCAATCATGTAGAATTGGATTATGAGCTATAGATATAGCTGCTTTGTTGTCACAATAGACCTTCATAGGTGTCGGGTGAGAAAGCTTTAATTCTTCAAGAATTCTTTTAATCCACATTACTTCACAGATTCCATGGGCAACAGCTCTGAACTCTACTTCTGCACTACTTCTAGCTACCACATTCTGTTTTTTACTCCGCCATGTAACTAGGTTCCCACCTACAAAGGAGCAGTATCCGGATGTTGATCTCCTGTCTGTAACACTTCCTGCCCAATCTGCATCTGTGTATACTTCAACTTGAAGATGCCCATGTTTCTTGAACAGTAAGCCTCTCCCTGGAGTTCCTTTCAAATATCTTAAGATCTTATAAACGGCCTCAAAGTGCTCTGCCCCTGGTGAGTGCATGAACTGACTTACCATGCTGACTGCAAAGGCAATATCAGGCCGCGTATGAGACAAGTAAATCAATTTCCCGACAAGTCGCTGATATTGTTCCCTCTCTTTGACTTCTTCAGCCTTAGCAGCTTGTAACTTCAAGTTAGGCTCGATCGGAGTCTCCACCATCTTACAACCAAGCATACCTGTTTCTCCAAGGAGATCAAGAACATATTTTCTCTGATTAACGAATATACCTTCCTTGGATCTTGCAAATTCCATTCCGAGAAAATACTTGAGGGCTCCCAGATCCTTAATGTGAAATTCTTTTGCGAGTTTCTCTTTGAGGGCTAGAAATAGCCAGTGTCTCCCCTTTGCCGAGGCAGGATTTATGGCGGCACAAAATACAGAAGAAATTGTGGTTATGGCAGCTGCATCGGAACAGGGGACCGCTCCACAGAGTGAGGCTAGCATCAGTATGTCATATCCGCCCAGGTCGCCCGTTGTGCACCCGGTTTGGGCTCCCCAGTTATACCAGGCTCGTGAGCCCACCACTTTCGAATTAATGGGGATGATAGGCGATCTCCAAAGGTCTGTGGCAGACCTCGCCTATGGAAT